ATAATGATTTTGATTTTTTACTTTGATTTTATAGTAGGTTGCTTTTCTTATAGAAGGATTTATAGCTCCTAAAACTTACATGAATTAACTCATAATATATACTAAATGAGTGTTAATTATAGTAATATATTCCTAAGTCCAAGCTCAACATTTTAAATAATAAAGCACACAGATATTTCTTAGTTTTGTCAAAGAAAATAGTCCAAACTTTACAAAGTACTTAGCGAATTTTTTGCAATTCACTTTTGTTTTTTCTTATAAGAACGTCAAGTTCGAGGCAAAAACATCTCGTTTTCGGGATTTTAATGTCTTTTTTTGGCGGTGTGCAAAAACGTTGTAAACTCATTTAATATGCTTAATGACGTCATGTGTGCGCTGTTTTTAAGTAGCCCCCACTTTTCGAATGTGTGTGTGTTGGCCCCACCCTGCATGCGACAATTCTCTGTTCAGTGTTATTGTCACTGCCGATGTTGCTGCTTTTTGCTGGGTTTTTGTTTTAGGGGCACTCCTCTTTTGTTGATTCTCAGCCTTCATTGTTGCGTTGGTCATTTGAAATGCAGATGGCCTTGGACGGCTTAGCCCCTGGCTCCACTTTGAATGCTCCGCCCAAAATAGTCTCGCTAAACTCTTAACAAAACTGCGAATAGTTGTGTGAATGGCGATGGCGGCTCAGCCTTGGGGAAATCTCTAACATAGCCATGGAATTTCCGAGTCAAAGGAGCCCAGAGTCAAACGGACCTCATTGTTTCTTTTAACTTTTTGGATTCTGACCTCGAATCAAAGCTGATTTGGCACTTTTCTCCCAGCTCGCATGCTAACAAACCAATGGGAGGCGGAAGTCTTTAGCGGCACGAGTTTCGTTAAGTAAAAAATGGTTATATTTATGCGTATGCCAACACCCAGGGCCAATTTATTAAACATTTTTAGGCTATAATTCCAATTTTGGAATGATTTAGTGCAGTTGTTTTAAATCTTGAATAAATTGAGTTCTAAGAAACTAGAAAACGGTGATCAGGTATTTCAGAATCAAAAAATAGTTAAGTTATTTTAAGTTATTTTTATTGCAGGTAAATCAACATACTAAAAAATGTTATACCCAAGAGTCCTTGATGTAAATATAGCCGTAATGAACCTATAGATACTTGAATTGTGCGAAATAATAAGTATATTTTCGTCTGGAACAAATGGTTCCCATGACATCCGTGTAACATTTAGCTCTGATTCACGGTAGTGGTAATTTAAATTAATAAAATGCAGTATATTCTTCCGCCTCTGACTAATTTCTCCCAAGGAATGTGCTTTAGCATTCCCTTTAAATTAACCATTTTACTATTTTAGTCGCCCAGTTGGCCGGAGACCAACTAATCGGCTGACTTGGCACGGTTGATGAGTTAATGTCCTGTGTTAATTAAATGCCACAGACGCTCCTTTGGGAAGCGCATGCTGCCGGAGTTATTCACCGACCTAAGACCTTTGAAGCCGCTGTTTTCTGCTGGTCATGTAGCCGTCTTGACCTGCCATTTAAAGTCAGTGGGCTGACACAATCTAACGTTGGCTGTGCATGTTCCACAGCCAACTAACGAACTGGTGGTAACAAGGTTAGTTGGCAACTGATTTGGGCTGCTTAGTTAGCACGTTTTCCCCGAAAAGAAGTTCACTCCCTGTTCGCCGTTTTAATAGTGGTTTGTTGGTTTTCCTGAATTGTGATCGTCGTGTTATTCAAATATGTAGACACTCACACACGCACACGCACTGCCAACTACAATGGCAAGGAATTTCCACTCCTTGATTTGGGGAGCAACTCCCCACCAAACTGGTTACTGTTCTTTCCTTTTCTTGGTTTTTATTTTTCTTTTTCTTTTCCTTTATTTTTCTTTTGGTTAAAGAGCAATTCCTGGCCGAAACCGAATCGAAGCTAAACCGAAACCAAATCGAAGTGCCAACTGTCGGGAGCGAGCGATTCTGGGGTAGACGTCCGTTCGGGAACAGCTTGAGCAACAAACTGTTGGCCAAAAGGATTTTTTGGTTTCTGGAGTCGGCCAAAGCTCGGGGAGCTCGTGTTTGGGGCACGCTGTTGCTATTGGCAGTGAAAGCTTTCCCAGCGGTTTCCCCGCAGCTCCACAAGTTTTCCCTCACTTTCACCGCTTTCCATGTGCGGCAGGACACGTGCGGAGCTTTTAGCACGTGAGCCATGTGTGTTTTATGCCTGGACAATGGCCGTGTGGCATTTTCGAAAAACCTTTCTCAACAAGTGGAAAGCTTTCAATTTGCTACTAATTAGCGACTGTCAACTAATTGAATTTTCATGGCCACGCCAGCGGACGGGCACTAATTTCGCTTTTTTGGCAACTCTCGAAAAGTTTCAGCTGCGCTCACTTTCAACCTGTTGACCAGCTTACTCGCCCCAGTGGGTGGCGCCACATTCGTCCTTACTCGCCCCCACTTGCCGAGCTGCAAGGACCTTGCCTTGCTCTTGAAAATGGCAGCTAGCAAGCGGCAGTCGGCTGAAATATTTATGCACGTAAGGTCATCGAAGCTATTTGGCTGCACTCCGCTCGGCTGGCACTAAAAATAAGTCGGTAAGTAGATATAAGTATAATTCGCGCAAGTTCCGTATGGCAAGGCAGCCGAAAATTTCAAATTTAATTTCTTCTTGCCCTAATACTTTGACAAGGACATGGGCTGGGCCTTTATGGAGTGTCCGAGTGTTTTATTGAAAAGTGATTTAAATAATTGCATTCTAGTCGTATCGTGCTATTCTTCAAAGGTATGATGATTGCTGTTTAATTGTAAGCTCACCAAAACATAACCTATTTTGTAAAAAAAGTTGGATATATTTATAAGTTTGGATATATTTTTTTAATACTTAATACTTAACACTTTAAAAATCATTTTCACTTCGAATTTTAACGACGAATTGCATTGCTGTTGCTTCAAGTCGTCTTTTAAAAGCTCGGAAATACCAGTATTTTAAAAACGTGCTTTACTTAAAATAATAGGTTGGGGACTTTGCTTCTAGAGCTAAAATAAGCTTATAAAAGTCCATCTAAACCATATACTTTATGTTTTTATATTCATTTTGCATAACTAATTACATATTTGAAAATTTGCTGATACTTAATATTACTTTTATCTTCAGTATATATTGCATTGGTTTTCGGCGAAAATAGGTACACAACAGTGTTGCCACCTGGCAAAATATCCGAAAAGAGCTTTGCTCGGTGTGGTGGCTGTATTTGATATTATTTCGGTGTTTTAAATATGGAGAATACCGCTTAAAGAAAATTACATTGCACAAAAATTGTCCACTTATTTATGTTAATCATTTTAATAATATACATCTACTCCGGGTTCATGTCAAAGATTGGGTTTCTACATTGTGGTTCATGTCACGGTTCATGTAATCGGGCACTGAACTTGGAGTCCCCACTTTGTACTGCTTTTTTCGTAACAGAAGCAGTTTTTTTAAATTATACTCGATACGTGTAGAGTAAAATGCCAACTCACACAAACCGCCCAACACTCTCACGCCCAATCTTTTAAAAAGTGTTTTAATTATATCGTTAAACTATTGCCGGCCTCTTGAAGCGTTTTCTATTCTATAAATACCTCTCATTTGATGTCCAGAAAGGTAGTGTAATTCGATAAAATCCGAAATCATTGCAGTCAACAAAAGGCTTCCCAAATGCTAATACTTTAAAGTGAACAATGCTCGGCTCAGCACTCGACCATTTGCGAGTCCATTGAGCTGTCCTTCATTGGCTATTACATCAACCAAGGGCTTCCTGCGCCCATTCCCATAAAAACAAAGTGGACATCTTACGTTAAATTTTATTTTATATGGATTTTCTGTTTCAATTACAAATGTATTTAATATTATTGTTGTTGCTGCTGCTTTTTCGTATATTTTGTTGTTGTTAACGCGTTTGATTTTTGACTTGTGTTGCTGCTGTATGTTTTTATGTGTGCATAAAAATCGTGTCACTTTCAACAACATTATTCGTTTTTGATTTGATTAATATTTTTAAAATGCATTTTTTTGTAAATAAAATAATGTCTGCATGAATTTTTGTTAAAGTATTCTCTTGCCGGTTTTCCTGCGCCGCTTCGCTCCATATAAATATGTAGTGTATATATAATTTGCTTTCGTTTTTCATTTATTTTATTATTAAATTACATTTCACAAAATACAATTCACAACTACACTTGATGTCAAGTTTCTGGTTTCCGTTCAACTTCAACTGATCCATCAATCACCGACAGCTTTCAATTCTCTTCAATCCTGACCTATCAATCTATAATCCACTCCATTATGAAATATTTTCTTTTAAAATTAAAAAATCGTATACATTCGCAAATTGCAATCAATTTCGGTTCATCAATTTAGTAAATTAGTTTTCAATCACAAAAAATTAACAGAAAATGTTTCGAGTTGAGAGTCAAATTGCATTATTTATTTTTACACTTTATCATTTCAATTCGTTTGGATTTCCCATTTACGTATATTCGTTACACTCTTTAGCCTTTTATAATTTGTATTCATAGATAAAAGCGTTTCCTATGTACGCTTTCAACTAAAGTTGGAGAAATGCAAAAACCCTTTCGGGTATTCAACTTTCTCTTAGAGAACTAAACTAAACGCTACTAGCTAGCAATATTTCTTTAAGCTTATTAACAACATCAAATAGTACGCGTAAATGGTTGTATTGGATTTTGTTTCTTGTTCAATATGTATTATATGTTTATTAAACATTGTACGTCTTGTAGAGAAATTTGCTAATTAATAATTACTCTTTCTGGTTTTTTTTTTCCTTTCTGCTTCGGCTTGCTTAACTTGGAGAGCTTCGTTTTAATGATACGTATAAGTGTTCGAGGGATCTTCTCTTGAAAATGCGTAAAGAAAAGTTCAAACAATAAATAAAGCAACTAAATAAAAAGTACTTACTTGTCATGCATAATGAAATCATGTTTAAACGAAAGAAAGTAACTCAAAAATGAACTATTTTGTATATTGTTTTATTACAGCTTTAGCATGTTTTTGTTTTGTAAATAGAAGTAGTTATAGTTGCTAAAAAACATTACACACATAGTTGCTATATTATATAATTTATAATATTCATTTCATCCCTTCTTCTTTTGTTTCGTATGTGAAATGGTTTGAATGGCTAACAGTTAAATTGTTGCTTTTACCATGTAATATAAATATTAAATTTAAATACAATAGTTTTTAATTCTTGATAGATATTTCGTTTTGCTTTAGCTTGCCGTTCTCCACGATTTCGTCTACCACTAAGGTTACATTTAATTTAATACTCTTATATAAAAGTTTTAGCTTTATACAAATTTTTCTTTTTGCTTCTTTTATAAATGCAAAGAAATGCCTTGCTTCGGCTGCAAAAGTTGGCAATTTTCATTTAATCATTTACTTGAATGGTAGCATTTCTCTTTTTGGGTTTTTGTAAAAACTAAATTCAATTTTTGAGCTTAAATGCAGAGTTGCTTTTGATGCTGAAATGCATGTTACTATATTATATTTTAGTTTCCGGGAATTTCACATCTCCGAACAAAAAAAGATGTTTATAAACTATGCGCGGTTTGAAAATATGTACAAAACTTAGTGTTGGATAATGCCTTAGATTACGTTAAATAATTTACAAATGGTATCTGGCAACACGGAGTGCCTGTTCTTTGATAATGCGACAACCCTAAAATCGCAACTAACTTTCTATGGGCATTCGAAGTGTTTCTTTTTCTTTTTTTTATTTAATTTTTGTATGCGTTCGTTATGTTAAATGTTTACGTTAGGTTAAGGTTAATAGTGTAGTTAGTTTGATTAAAAGTTAGTTGTAATTTCGAAATATGGCTCGTGGCTCTGACTTGGCAGTGTGGGCAGATTCCGCTCTCTACTTTACCCCGATTGCTCTACGTGGCGGTTATTTAATTGGTTTCGCGTTTCTCAGTCTATTTCGTTGAGGAAAGTGTTTGTGGAAGGGTATAACAACAGAAAAGGTGGCAATACGAATATTCAGATAGGAAATCAGTTAATGGCAGGTAGAACAAACGCGCTTCAGCTGGATTCGATCTTCACTTTTTACTGCGGGTAGTATCCTTTCGCTACGCCCAAGCTCTGTGCTCATCTGCTTTTGAAGACAAAGGTTTTTTTGGACTAGAATCTTGTATGCAGATTGGTTGCTTAACACATCTCAAAGGTTATTGTTGCTGGTCTTATGTCCATTTTCAACTCATAAACAATTTGGCGGAATTGGAATAAATTTAGACCTATTAACGCTATAAATTATAATTATAATACAGAAGATCACTTCGTTTAGAGTTACAAAATAGTTGGATTGGAATTAATTTCCTTGTAAAAGTTTTGGTGCAAAGAATTTCGAAGATTCTGCATAATCTCTACATAACAAACAAATGCTGAATCCAGAAAAAGCTGTGTGAATTCCGATTCCGCACAAATCGATGGGAATTGGAAGCAGAAACATGGGCTGCTCTGGTGCGCTTTCCACCCAACAATCAAACTACGGCTACTCGAATTAATATGGCATTTCTTCAAAACCTTTGCTAAGGGGGCCCTAACCAGACAGCGGGAGCGAGCGAGATGGGGATGGAGTGTACGAGTGAGAGCCTAGAAGTGCGCGTGAGACAGAGGCCGGGCGTGCGAGTCGACCAACTTGAGCGGCTACAGCTGGCTAAAACTGCTGGTCGAGACCCAGTGCGCGGTGTCCGGGCGTACCATTAACTATATGGGACCGTAGTCGCTGAGCGCCTGGCCCGGATGCTGTGCACCCGGGCCGCCGGGCAGCGTGACCACTACGGACACGGCCCGCGAGTCGATCACGGAGCCGGGAGCGGTGTTCTGGCCGCCCACTCCGTTGTTGCCGTTGCCGTAAACGTTGCCGGGATTGCCGCCGCCCACGCCCACGCCTCCGCCGGAGGCGCCGTGCATCAGGGTGCCGGGGAGAGGGCCCATGCCGACCGTGCTGCTGCTCATCGCGGTGCCGTGGCCCAGGGTGCCGCCGCCAATGGTGCTACCGCCGCCCCCGCCGCCGCCCATGGTCGATGCTCCCCCCGACTCTCCATGTCATACGTGGCTGGCCGCCGGCTGCTTGAGAACGTGGTGGTGCAGGTGGTGGTGGCTGGTGGAGGCCACCGAGGCTCCGCCCGCCTGGGTGTAGGGCGTGGCCAGCAGGGAGCCCGCCGCCGAGCCCACGGGCATGCCCATTCCGGATCCGGCATAGGGATGCGGGATCGGAGGCCGCTGCTTGATCAGCGCCTGGTTGGCGCCCGTGCGGTCCGGCGCTCCTAAGAGTCTGCGCCAGAAGCGTCGCCAGCTCTCCAGCGTCTTACCGGACCAGATCCACACGCCCGAGGTGATGCCCACGGCCAGGGCCATGAAGTACTTGAGCATCAGGACCGAGTAGAGGGGCTTCTTGCCGGGACCCTTCACCTGGGCACACGGACAGGCCAGTGCCTTGATCCAGTCCTCGAAGTAGGCTGCCTCGTACAGGTAGCATCCAATAACAATGGTGGCCGGCACCGTGTAGAGCACCGAGAAGATGCCAATCCTGATCATCAGTTTCTCCAGCTTGTCCGCCTTGACGCCAGCTCCAACTCCACCCTGTTGCTTGATGACCGACCGGATGCGGAAGAGGGACACAAATCCGGCCATCAGGAAGGTGGTGCCAATTACCAGGTAAACGAAGAGCGGGGCCAGCACGAAGGTCTTCAGGTGATCCGGGTTGAGGTTGCCCACATAGCAGATGCCCAGAATGGGATCGCCATCCACCGCCGAGAGCAGGAGCACGGCCACGGACTGCACAGTGGGAATCAGCCAGGCGGCCAGGTGGAAGTACTGCGAGTGCTTGGTGATGGCCTCGTTGCCCCACTTCAGACCAGCGGCGAGGAACCAGGTGAAACTGAGGATCACCCACCAGATGGACGAGGCCATGCCAAAGAAGTAGGTGAGCAAGAAGACCAGGGTACAAGAGTGCGGACCCGTGGAGCTTTCCCGGAGCAGCAGGCCGTCGCAGGCGATCTCCTCGTTCTGAAGGAAGTTGCGCGACAGGTAGCCCACGGCCACCATGAAGTAGCAGGCGGAGAGGAAGACAATGGGTCGCTCCGGGTACTTAAACCTTTCGGTGTCGATGATGAATGTGGTTAGGGTCATGAGCGTGCTGCAGAAGCATAGACCCGACCACAGGGCGATCCAGAGGCCGGCGAAGTCCTTTTCGTCGTTGCTGAAGAAGGGACCCTTGCACGGAATGCCGCAGTTTGGTACGCCGGCGATCCTTTGGACAGTGAGGTTCATGTACCAGTGGTGTGGATGGTGCATCATGGGCATCTGCGACTGCTGCTGCAGCAGCTGCTCCTTCCCCAGGAAGATGAGTGGGGAGCGGCACGAGCAGCTGCACTCTTTTCCGCTTGCCTTTTCTCCTTGGGGATTTTGGCAGTTTTTTGAATTGCGTCCGCGGCACGGCTTCGTTGAGGTGGAACCGCTGCTGCCGCCGGCCCCACTGCCGCCCGAGCCACTGCCTCCTTGCTTCCGCTTGCCGCCGGAGCCGGAACCGCTGCCAGAGCCACCCGATCCGCCCGAGCTGCCGCCGCTGCCCGCCTCCGTGTACGAGGGCTGTTCCATGCACAGATTGTCGGGGTCACCATGAAGGGGCAGGTGCTCGCACGCCATCCTCTCCGGCCACTCGAAGCTGTACTGCTGCATGATGGGTGCGCATCCCGAGCGGGCTCTCTCGCAGACACTCCGGCAAACGGGCAGCGGCTTGTGGTAATCCTCCAGGCAGATGGGCGTGTACATGCTGCACAGGAAGAACTTGAGGTCCGGCGAGCACTTGATCTCTACTAGGGGCCAGAACTGGTGCACCTCCAGGCCCGCTTCGTCCTGGGTCTCGTGGTTCATTTCGTTGGGAAAGGATGTCATGTTGTACCCAATGCCCCGACACATTGGTATAGTGATCTCTTCGCATCGCAGATTGGGATCCTTGGGTATGGCTGGCACGCCGTATCCGGGGGCAGGACTCGCGTCCAGGCCGTGACCACCCATGCCCATTCCGCCCATGCCGTGATCCGCACTGTGCTGCGGTCCGTCCGCTCGACAGGATGTCAGCAGGAGGCTGAGTCCCAGGATCAGGACCTTCAGTCGGTTGTGTCTCATTTTGTGCGTCTTAGCTTAGTTCGGTTGTGTGACTTGGAACCCCTTGGGCTCTTTCTTTGCTGACCTTCTCTGCGGTTGCACCTCACTGCTCGTGGAGGCGCCTCGAGAGCCGGAAAAGCGAATAGCGTTTCCTTCCAGACACAGCGCAGCGTCAAATCGTCAACGCTCGACAAACGGCGTGGTCTAACTGCAATTGAAAAGGAAAATCAAATTAGTTTTATATTTAATGTATTTAGTAATTTTCCAGTTAGATTTTATATAAAAACTTATTCAGGAAATAGAAACATTAAAAGCGCTACACAATCTATTTAAAATTGATTTATATTTGCTTATAAATTATTATATGGTTTTCACGTAACAAATGTATGATCATTGATCCCCATGCTGACGATCCCTTCGATAAGAAATCCAGATCCTGATAGGGTTTGTTTTAAGCTAGCACATGTTGCACTGATTTTATTGAAATTATTTTTAGCTTCTGCCGATCCGACTGCCGAAATTCAACTGATTTTCTAATCACCATTTTCCAACAGACATCACATGGAGGAAGAGAGACGGACACAGTCGTTGTGGTGGATCGCTGATGAGGCGGCGACAAGTTGCAACTGCTCTTTCCTGTTTCTGCTTCTGATTCGCTCCCTGGAGAACTTTCGCGCTTCATTTGTTTCAATTGAGCGCGGCGACACTTGGACGACATGTCCATGTCACATGTCAAGCACTCCAGCACTTCACCCACCCGGTTCCCTGGTTCCCCGATGCCCCACTCCTTCCCTCCTCCACTCATATAGAGTGTCAACCCTTCCGCCAATATTTGCTGACGCTTCAGGGCTGTCCCTTCCATACTGGTGACTCTGATTCTGATTCCGATTCTGGAAGTGCTGCTGACCAAGAGGAGCATCAATCAAAATCAGTGAGTTTTATTAAATTTGACGGGCTCTGCTGGCTGCAAGCGCATGGCTTTAGTGCACTTCAAAAAAATAATGCCCACAACACCGACTATAAAGTGTGGATTGTATTGAACCATCAAGGCAGTTAGATCTTTACCAGATTTTCCATTTCAAGAAGCACTTTCTTCCAATTATTCGAATCCAGTACTCGGAGGGCAACATTTTTCTCAGTGTGTGCTTGATAAAAGTGTTTGCTTTGGTTTTCCAACTGAAGAAGGGTGTGAAACACTGATGGATTGGATGTGATGAGGCAGAAATTAATTCAAGACAATTGCTCACTTGAAGCGCAGTCAAAATGGAGGCTGCAAAGCCACCCATCAAGTTGGCTTTCTACCCATCATTGACTGGGGTAATGAATATTATTTTATACGGTTGACACCTTTTTTGGGGGAATAACTGCGGGATGGCAGCTGGCCATATCGATATCGATGTCAGCGGTTTGCGGTGAAGTCAAGTAGCAGCTGCTCCAGAAGCGAAGATACTTCGAGATACCAAAAATTGACAGCTGGACGGACTGAAGTGAAGGGCAATTTACTCGCCAGCAGCTTCTGCGCGCTCAAAGTCACGAAATTTATCTACGAGATACAGTTTTTAGCAAGTGTCAAGTGACACACATAGTTGCGGCTTTGCGGCCAGCTTCAGTTTCAGTTTGGGATCTCAGCTGCGTGTGGTCCAGGGAAAAGCAGCAGCTTTAAAGAGCTTTGCAGCCAGTTTGTTGTTCGTAGCTCTTGGCTCTTTCAAAAACTGTCAACAACAGCTGCAAATAAAACATAGTCGTACCACCCTCCACCTTCCACTTTACACTTTAAGCCCCAACTCCTTTGTTCGGCGCTGAAAGTCCTTCCATTGTTTTTCTGAATGAATGACATTTTAATTAATAACATTTGTGTGCGTTAGTCGGCGGTGTCCATCACAATTTCGCCCCAAACCCATTTCCCGACCGATACAACCCCGAAAATAAGTTGCCGAGTGCGGCTCTCACTGAAACATTTTTCGTGTTAAAATGTTTGCCGAGCACTTCAAAATAATTAAGTAAATACGCCACGGAAAATGTTTCTAGGACAGCGCGTGGGCGGAGCGAAAGCCCAAGTGTTGTGATTACAACTCGAGGGTAGCGCCAAAAATAAACGTTGAAATCCAATATCGAAATGTGGGCACCAGGCAATCGGATCGTGAGAAACAATGCCAGGCGTGAGTCGGCTATCGATTACAGTGAATACTAGTCTGAATGCATTCTGCACACTCCGTCCGTTGAGATGGTTGTGGTGATGCTTACGCAATATTCTCCTACTCAAATGACGAACTCAGCATATGGAAATCGAAACGGCATTAGGAACTGTCATAAATGAAGGCTGATGGGTGGTTGGGGGTCGCTAAACAGTATCTAAATTATATCTATTTGCTAGACAAAGTCAAACCCCAGTCACAATGTTTGGAAAGCCAAAGGAGAAGTTATAGTGTGCTAAATAAATTCCAAGCTAGCCTTTAAATACAAGGATACTTGAGCAGTCGCATACAATGTCTGGATGACATTTGGGATAGCAATGCAACCACGTGAAGTACATCCCAACAGCAGAAATTACCATTTTCCCCGACACTTCGACACCAAGCTCTGTTCGCAACCGAGAGTGAAAATTAGCCATAAGCCGAAACAATGCGACAATCACCGAACGGAAAGAGGGAAATCTCTAATTGGTTTGGCCGAGCCAGGAAAATCATATTGAAATGCAGCGAACGTGACTGAAATGGCAGACCAAAGCAGAGCCGTATGGAGATGGAAATGGGAAAGAGCAGAAAAGAGCAGAAAAGAAAATGCGTACATGTGTTTGGATATGGAAAAGCCACGTTCACAACGGCTTCCACATTTGGCCAGAAGTGAGTGGTGTTGCGCGTTGTTGTGCCCCGAAAGCAAAGCAACTTGCTCCGGTTATTAAAGCCTCAAGTGGCTGGACTCATGTACTTGAGATCTTGGGCCATTTCAGGCCCGACCCTGTGTTCTGATTGCCGGCCAACAACTAGCACTAATAGGTGGCTGCGATGTGTTCATGGGAAATGGCCTGGAAATAATAGCAAACGTGCTTCTCCCGAGTAGAAAAAGAAGCAGGCAGAATGCATAAATATTATTTTTAATAGAGAAAAATGTCTCAAGTGGCGGTGACGAATGGATCGGATCGCTTCTCTGCGTTTCTCGCAGACTCCGTTTCTCCAATTCTCCGAGTGGTGACCAGATGTTTGTATTTGGCCGATCGACTGGGCCATGTTTGCTTAATGATTCGTTGTTTCTCACCCAGCGTATTTAGTGCATACTCATATTGTTTATTTAATTGTTAACAAGCGTGCGGCTCAGACGCTACAAGCTCGTTACGAGTAACAAATTATTACTGCATGGTTTTTGCCAATCATTCCGCTGGGAGAATTTATACAAAATCACGCTGCCAGCCAGTCTCAACGATGTTGGCCCAAGCTCTCCACTTCTCCAGTTCCCTGGCTCTCGACTGGCTCGAAGATCTGGCTCTGGCTCTGGCTTTCTTGGCCATGTTTGCCAAAGACTTGAGAATGCAGGGATGTGGGGGAAAACAGAGAGGGATGTAGAGAGAGAGAGATATCCCCGATCCCCGGACCGATCGGTGAATGGCTGCGCTTCACTGCACTAAAGAGGTCGTCGGGCGGAAGCTGTTACCAAAGTTGGTAGCTTGGCAGCAACATGGGCAAAACGGCTAAAGAAAATCAACTACAACACGACGTCGGCGGCGACAACCTGGCTGTTTTAATTAAACAAACAAGCCAAAGACACGACGGGAAGACGACACCGATGAGCAAATAAGTAGCAAGTGTTGCTGACTCCTCAAAGTACAGTCGACACCCATGGCAAACAAACCACTTGCACAAGGTGTGGGTTTCCAAGAAGGTGGGAATCTCTAAATAAGTCGCGTCTAGAAGGAATGATCTCATAAGCATAATTCTCAGAATCTAAGGAGCTGTTTCGTGTATTATTTCTTGTTGGATTGAAAATGAATGGTGTACTTTGTGGTAATTTAACTTAATGTTTACATAACTTAAATCCCTAAAGTCTGGTATAACTATAAGCTGCCTGTGTCGCTTTCAAGTACAGTTTGCCCAGAGTCACAAAAGCGGCGGAAGTAAATCTGGCATTCAACTCAAGATAATGATGATGAGCAATTAACCAAACAATGACCAAACCGAACCGAACCGAACTGAAACCAGCATCGATGGGAAGAAAAGAGAATGCTAATCGATAACTTATCGCCTCGATGGGGGCAATCAATCAATCAAAGGCAAAAAGCCCCGTCAAAGAAGAGGTCTTCATACAAAACGGCTCCAAATCGCTGTTCGCGGACCTGGGAAAAGTGCGGAAAAAAAGGTTGTGGGGGGGAATAGGGAGCGGAACGTGGAAAAGCCAAAAAAGGAAAACTTGCCAACCACAAAGCACTTAAACTTTCTAAGGGGAGGTATTTCCTCTTTACTTTTTCGGGGAATCCCCTCCGCCCGCCGCAGTTGCAGTGCAGAAAGAAGCGTTGAAGCAGCAGCAGCAAACTCGAAGGGCTCCCAGGTGCAACAGTCAACCCAAATGCCACCCAAACCCCCTCCCCGTTGGGAGGTGGCCTTGGCCAAAGCAAACCGCGAAAATCAATTGAAAAACTCGCCGTGAAAAGCAGGGGGGAAATGGAGGGGGGTCGGGGTCGGGGGCGGGGAAAACACTAAAACAGGAGCAGGAGCAACTGTTTGCCTTGTTGGCGGCGGCATCAAAAAGCGCGTAGCGGCGCAAAATGAAAACAGTTTGTCGACACGGTAGGTTCAGGTCAGAGCGAGCCAGGTAGCTGGCGACAGAGGGAGAAGGCATGAAGGTATGAAGAAGTTTTTATTTCCAACCAGGGGGTTTTCCACACAAAGTCAATGCAGACAAGTTCCATGACCTTACAAACGCAGCGAGTTCAAATGGGGAGAACGGCAAAAAGGGCTGCGGAAAAGGGGGGGAAAATGGAAAAACGTGGCTTTCGCAGGAGGTCTCCTACGAGCTTTTCCCCGAGGAGCTTTGTCAACGTAATAAACACAAAACTGGCTCAAGATTTTTGCGCGTCCGCCCATTAAAATCATTGACATTTAAACGTGTTTTCATTTTGTTTTTTTTTAGCCCGACTGTTTTTGCTGTCACACTTTTGCAACATTTTTTTAAAAGCGGACTTGAAGCACTCTTTCCTACGATTTTGCGCTTTGATGT